TTATATAACATATATAACAATGATAATAAAAATGTGAATAATGACAATGGCTTTTTGTTTTTTAAAAATTTAAATTATCAAAACACACATCTAATACGTAGCATTAATAGATTAAAATTGTAATTTAATCAACGCTGAAAATCGGTAAATTTCATTTAAAACTGTATATATATTTATTTATATATATAGAGAGATTTTCAGCGTTGATTAAATTACAATTTAAATTTATTAATGACAGCAAACTTTCCGATTTGATCGTCAATGATGCTTCCTGGCCGGAGTTCGTTTGCATCTGGGAGTGAAATTCGGCAGCAGCTGCAATCCAAGTGATGTCAAATCATCAATCAACTGAAAATGAAGATAGACGACAGAAGTCCATGTATTTATTTAAGTTTACTTTTATGACTTCGCATTAGAAATTGATGACATTTAATTAATAATAGTCTAAAACAAGTTTACGAATGGTCTGTTTTGAGCGGACAGAGAATAAATGTCAAAAAACTAAGTGTATGATATTCACTGACAAAAGTAGAAATGGTAGTATTGAAATAAATTTTATATTAAATAACATTGTTATCGAAAAATTATCTGTTTTTAAACTCATGGGTGTATTTATTGGTTGTCTTTTAAATTACAAAGACCATATTAACTATCTATTGGTCAAAAAAATAGAAATATTGGAATCATAAACAAAATTAAATATATGTTATCATTTCAAGTTTTACATCTTCTATATTATACATCAATATTTCCACATTTATACTATTGCAACCTGATCTGGAGAAATACATATTAAACTTAATTATTAAAAATTTTCAATGCTCAAAAAAAGTATTACAATACATTTGTATGGATAGCCACTCGTCTAAAGATGGTTTTAATAAAATGAAAATTTTATCTATCTTTGAAATAAACAATTTTAAATCATGTTGCCTTCTGCATAAAATATTTCATGGGGAATTGATATCAACCGACACAATTCTTCTCGGATCAATCAATCCGTTGCTTAAATCGGCATCGACAAGATCAGTGATTGATTGCATGTTCAGGGTTAAAGCTCCAAAACGTGAATACCAGTTCCGCAATGTTTGTTTTTATGGGACAAAAAAATGCAACTCACTTCCGGACTATATCAGATCCTGTCTTGTTTTTAGACTTCTTAAGTATAAGTTAAAAAACTTTTTACTCTGTCTTTCATAGTATCGAGTTTTTTTTTGTTTTTTTTTAATTTGTGTGTGTGTGTGTGTATGCATGTATATATTAATTTTATATTTCCACATATTAATAATACTTAATCTATATACAATTATTTCAAAAATTTACTTACTTTTGTCTGACTGAATGGTTAGCTAATAACATTCCAGATCTGGTTTATCCTTTATTTTGTATCTACTTATTTTTTTTCTTTTATATTTTGATCTTATCAACTTATGATTGTTTTTAATCTATTTATATTTATTCGTGCATAAATTTTGTCTTTCGGTATCTCTT